GGGGGGGAGCCAGCCTAAGGAACCCTTCCCGGTCATCCCTGGCTACGACTGGGTCAGGGGTGACGTTGGGGAATTCCAGAGCGTCTTCAGGTCGTTCATGGAGATTAATGTGATGCGAAAATCGCATAGGATTTGTGAACCTTCCATTTCCAAGCTTATCCGGCTTGGAATATACACCAGTGTGTTGCCATGGATATTACTTTTTTGTACTAATAATCATTATCTCAATAAGGTGTTGTTGATACACAATTAGGCTAAGTCGTCCCAACACGTGCATGGGCCCACACATACACATGTATCACCCTTATTTATTTGTCTTTCTTTTGTTGTATTTTTTCCTTTTTTTTTTCTTTTTGTCATAATAAAGTATTGTAATGACTTTAATCTTGTGATATAAATTGAAGCACTTATTTTAAATTATTTTTTTTACTTGAGTCTTTTATTTGATTTAAATTTGTCTTCATTCGTAAAAAGTTAACTTTCATTTATAACTTAATTTTTTTAGGAAATTTATAAGTTTTTTTTGTTATTTTGTAAATGAGAAGGAAAAGGATGGAAAACATTGAAAAAAGTAAGTGGAAAGCTTGGTGAAGCATCAAGAGAGAAGAAGAAATTTGACTAATTATTGACATTGAGCAAGGAATCTCACACTTAGTCTCAACCTTCTAGAGAGTTTAGCAAGTTGATTCAATTGTCACACTAAGCACAAATTTCCACTCTTAACACCATAGCTCCAAAGGTTAAGTTTTATTATTCTCTATCTCACACTAAGCGTGAATTTCCATGTTTAGAGTGTCAAAATACTGACATGTAATTACAAAGGAGACAAAAGGGTTTTATAGCCTAAAATCAAGGGGAACATACATTCATAAGGAACATTTCTTGGAGTGCGTGTGATGGCTAGAAGAGCACCCATGGCTTCATGATCAAGCTTTTTCATTTCTTCTTCATTTTTTGTACTTCATCTTTATGTATAGCAAACTTCACCCTTGTTAAGGTTTGATTTAACCATACTTATTATCATTTTCACATTTTAAGCTATTAATCCTAGTTATTGTTCAATATTATTGCTCTCTTCTTTACTTAATGTTTGTTATGGTTTGATCTCCCTTAACTTAATTTTATGGGTTTAAAGTGATTGGAAAATACTTATGAACCTCTGAATTGAAGTAGAGCAACAACTAATGGTATTTACACCTAGGAATCAAGTAAATGTTATTAGTCATCCTTAGACTCTTGTTCTTTGTAGACACCTAATTTTGTCCTAGGGCACAAAAAAAATAGACTTTTAGCATGAAGAAGAAGTTATTGAAGGCCTGAAAACAGCACCAGGTAAGCTAACATGACATCTAGAGATCCAAAACACAAAGTGCCAGAATTAGTAGCCTAGAACGAGTCGTTCCCAAACCGAAACGGGTCGTTCCAACCTTAAAAAAAAAGCCTGTAACCCTAGGTCAAAACATCCTATTCTGGCCTAGTCTATTACATGGAAAATTCAAATCCAGAACGGGCCATTCTAAGTTCAAATTTTACACGTAATAGAAATGTCCAAAACAACCTGTTTTGAATTCGGAATGGCCCGTTCCGGTGGATTTTTGTGCCTATAAATAGTAGGCTCGTGCACAATGCTCGGGGCGCGAAAATCTAGTCTCTGAATAGTCCCTCTAAAATCTAGAATTCTTCTCTCTTTTTGTTGTTTTCTTGAAATTTATGAAGCATTGTGAAGTGTGAAAGGTAGCCAAAAAGCACCTCAAAATTACTACATTTGAAGTATCTATAAGAGCTCGCTTTAAGAGGTATCTTTCTTTACTATTTATCATTTCTATTATAAACAAAGGCAATCATGTAGGTATTTTAGGGAAAATCGTGTAAATATGTAAATAATTATTAATAAAAAAGGGGAATCTAATACTTAAATTATTGTTTGCAATCACGTTAGTTTCATCATAGGTATTGATTCAAGGCGTCGTAAGGTGCCTAATACCTTCCCTACACATAATCAACCG